GTAAGGTAGCTTGTTGCTTATTCTGAATTAGGGAATTGACAAAATGGGGGTTGCTAGATTCTGGATGCAAGGAACAATTTAACAATTATAAAAAAAATTCTTTTGTCATTTATTATTGTTTAAAAAGGTATATAAAAATTACCACTGTAACCATTTTAAAGCATGCAATACTATGGCATTAAGTACATCCACATTGTTCAACTTTCCCCACCATTCATTTCCAGAACTTTCCTCTTTCCAAAGGAAGTCTGTACCCATGCAACACTCTCATCCTCCTCCCCACAAGTCCCTGGCAACCACCATTCTCCTTTCTGACTCCGTCCATTCTAGGGACTTCATGTAAGTGGAGTCTCACCATTTTAGTCAGATTTTTTGCTGCTTTAACTAAAAGATCCAGCCAGAACAATTGTATGTAAGGAAACGTTGATTTAGGGGCTCCTGGTTTCAAAGGCTGCAGTCTACATATAGAAGGCCGGCTCTATTATTCAGAGATTGAGGTGAGGCAGAACATAATGGCAGAAGAGCGTGGCAGAGGGAAACGGCTCACGTGATGATCAGGAAGTAGAGAGATTCCACTTACCAGATTAAAAAAAATATATATATATATATCCCAAAAGCACACCCCAATGACCCACCACCTCCAGCCACGCCCTACCTGCCTTCAGTTACCACTCATTAATCCCCATCGGGATCAATTCACTGATTGGGTTAAGGCTTTCATGATCTGATTATTTCTCCTGTAAACCCTCTTGGATTGTCTTGCACATGAGCTTTTGGGGGACACTTCACATCTGAAACATAACACGCACAGTGTGTGCCCTTTTGTTACGGGCTTATTTCACTTAATGTGGTGTCCTTAGGAAATAGCCATGTTGTAGCATGTATCAGAATTTCCTTACCTTTAGAGGTAGAACAACATAGGTGTGTACCATACTTCATTTGTCTGGTGATGGACAATGTTTTTTTTTTTTCCTTCAATTTTTTGAACAAAAATAATGAGACTGGGCCTGTTCTTATGCAGCATGCCTGTGTGGCTGAGGTAGAGGGGAGGCCAGCAGCCCCTGCTCTTCAGTGCTGACTGAGACTAATTAGCTATGTAGCTTTAAATAAACCACTTGTTCTGAGCAATTACATACTGTTGTAAAATGAATGGGTAAGGTTGGGATTATTAGATATTCTCTGAAGATTATTTCCCCTTTAAAAACCTCTTTCTCACTTAATTGTAAGTCTCTGGTTTGGTACAATTTGCATTTTAGTGCTCACTTTGTTTAATCATGAGCTATTTTGATAAATTCTTCTCCCTTCCTCTCTAACCTAGTTACTGAGATCATTTACTCCAACCCCCCCTCATATGGACAGAGATGCCTCCTAATGGGTAGTCTTATCTTCTCTTCATTTTTTAGGGGTGTATTTAAATGCCCTTTTTATTATTAGAGATCTGTCTAAATTGCTGTTTAATGATCAGTTGTTTAGATTTGCCTCTCCTTGGTGAAATTCAGAAATAATTTAATACAGAAGAGCTATTTTCTCCCTGGTATTTTCATAGCTCGGCTAAGGAACCATGGAGAAATTATTTTAAAAATCAGTGTATTAAAAAGACTGGCTTTGAAAGATAAAACTTTCTCAAATATGTAATAGAAAGAGTTTTGGAAAGTGTTATACTGTGCATATGTCGATCTTTCTGGGAGATTGACACATCCCAGAGTTTTAGGAAGGGTGCAGAAGTGACCACGCCCAATCACTGGCCGCCTTGAGTGAGTTAAAATTCATGAGTGTTGACTCCATGCATCGAAGTTGCGGATTCTGAACATTTGGGAATCGGTAACTTTTTTTCTTCTTTCTGAATTGCCTTCTGTTTAGGCAGGGTTTAATAAAACCAGCAGCTTACCCAAGGAAAATACTACCATTTTTGGAATGGAGGAGCCATACGACTTAACAAATTGAAGCATGTGACGCAGGCCAAGTAATTCAAACCCATGTGTGGCAGAGAGTTCTCCCATCGAATCCCAGGTCCTCCAAGATATTCTCAGTCCCCTGTTTGGCCTTCATCTTTTGCTTACCAGGTTCAGTTTCTCCCACTTTAATAGGTTTGTGACAGCATCAGTTGCTGCTGTCACCATGCGAAGCCTGGTTTCTGCTCCGCTTCTTTGAAGTGGATAAATGCTTTGTTCATAGAGGGAGATGGCCCTTTGCAGCCCTCTCTGCTGGGCCATCACGTTGGGGGCGTGTGAAGGCTGAGTGGACATGCCCAAGAGCAGCCAGCTTCTGGCCCCATGGCCTTTGTGTTTGTGAAGGCAAAGTTCTTCCTGGGAACAGGAGATGGGAGGTCACCTGCCCTCTCTTGAATCCCCCCGCCCTGCGTTTCTGAACTTCTCAGTGGAGACAGGATGTCTGACTTGGCTTCTCAGGGTTGGTGTTGGGGGAAGCCCCTTGTTTCTCTACCCATCTTTATTCCCACACTCTCTAGTATGTCTTGCTATCTCAGGTCTAGAGAAGAAGAATCAAATTGTTTTTGCTCTAATCAAGATTTTTAGGCTAGGAAGAAGTTAGCATAACCTTATGTGACAGTGTCCCTCGGTGTCTGAGGAAGACTGGTTTCAGGACCCCCTCAGATCCCAAACTCCTTGGATACTGGAGCCCCACATATAAAATGGAAGGGTGCTGGTAAGGGCTTCCCCTTGTAGTCTTCTAGCCTGGGATAGGAGTGGGACACTCCCACTTCCAATAAGACCATGACCACCTCAGAAACGCCAGGTCCTGTTCCAGGATAGAGAACTCCAAGAACAGTGTGGGGAGGAGGCTAAGAAAGGTGTTGAGTATTTTTGCAGTTCCTGTCACAAAGAGACCTCAAGACTATTTACTTAAAAAGATGTGAGATTTCCATGCGTTTGTCCACTTTTTCTTTGTGACAAAAATACCCAAGGACAACTTAGAGGAGGAAAATTTGATTTGAGCTCGTGGTTTCCGAGGTCTAGTCCACGGTCACCCGAGTCTGTTGCTCTGAGGAGGAACGTGACTGCAGGACAAGGAAGCTGCCCTGCTCTTGGTGGCCAGGAAGCAGGGGGTGGGGTGGGAAGGGGGTGCAGAGAAGATGACCACTCCTCCAGCCCCCCCCCCCTCCTACATCACCACTCAGTTTCATCCATTCAAAGGAGGATGGACGGCTTAGGTCATGGCACTCCGAATCTAATTCTTGCCCCTCTGAACATTCCTGCATTACCATAGGGGTTTTGGGGAACACCTCGTGTCCAAACCACAACACCACACAGTTCCTATTCATGCCACATAAGGCTGAACTGGTGTGTTAGGCATGGTAGTTTTATTCAGCCCTTGGGGTCTGGATCTTCTTTGTTTCATTTTGTAGGAGTTATAATGGGAGGTTTACCCCTGGAGTTAGGGGCACCAATGAGCTTTTTGCTAGACCTTCCAGGTTCATTTGTCTAGTTTGGGACATTTTGCTCTTTCTAGTCCTTGTGCTATTTGATGCAGGGTTTGTTTAATTCTTTGCACCCCTATCCGCAATCTTGGTGCAAGATTTTGCTGGGGATAAGTGGGTTCCGTTGCTGGTGCGCTGCTGCCTGGCAGGCCTGGAAGTTTCCCTTAGCATCGCAGGACAAGGTGGGAGGAGCTGACGGCACCCCCCTCATGGAAGAGGAGTCCCTCATTGACCTTCTGTTGTAATTCAGCAGTCGGTTAATGGCCACTTACTGGAAAATGTTACTAGGCTCTGCGGTGAGTGTTGTTAGAAACTGAATTACTCTGCCTATTTCCCCAGGGCCCCTTCCCCGCTGCGCCTGGAGTAGACACTTTGAGCTGCAGGAAGTGGCACTGTGTTGCAATCACAGCTTCATTGTTCTTCTGGATTATTTATTTTTGTGTTTCAAAAATAATCATATTTTCATGGTACTAGATTTTAATGGCACCAGAGACTTGCCAAGACCCCCAGAAAGTCACTGGGTTATTTGCCGGGTAGCCCCAGCCTGAGGCTATCCAGCAATGTGGCACGTGATTAATTTGAGTCACTGTAAACCTCCCTCCTTGTCTTCACCCCTGAAATGACTTCCAACAGCCAGTCACTTCTTATGATTTTGTGAAATTACTTTACAAAATCTTTCCTAGGCCACAGATCTAAGAGATAGGAGTTCACTAGCTGGGTGACCCTGACAATTCACCTAACCTTTCTGAGCCTTAGTATTACCTGTAGACAAATAGGAAGATAGATTCCCAGGGATGGGGGAAATCAATGAAATGATGCCAGTGGAGGCAATACTACAAAGCCTGGCATTACTAAACTCTTATCAAAAGTTTCTGTCTTGCCAGTGTGAAAATAAAACGGGCAACGAAGTGTCCCCATTTGTTGGGTAGGGTGTTGGGACAAAGGAGATCACCCATGGGTTTTCTTTTGGTCTGGAGAGATCTGCCCCTCTTGCTTCCACACAGGAATACAGGTGCCTGCTACCTCTGATTGTGGGGGACAGCGGGGCCACATTCTGGGGCCTGTCCTGGTAGACCCCATCTTCCTTAGCCCAGGGGTGGATGGCTTGTTTCTGGTCGGATGGTTGGGAGCATTCTGCCTCTAGCTGTACCAAATGTTTTTGGGGAAAGGTCGGTCTCCTTCCAGGGGACTCCACACTAGGATGGCCACATTATTCCCATTTCTGGGTCATGTTTTCAGCTCCTCAAGACCCACTAGGGATCTTGATCCTTTCTAATTGAAATAATTGTCACCAGCCTCCCACTTAATTACTGTGGCTGCTGCTGCTCTCTCCCCGACATGAGCAGAGGAAGTCCTCTGAGGCCCTTGGCAGCCTTTCTACCTGATGGCACCAGAGCCTGGATTTTTGAGGTTTCGTGGATTCCTGAGACTTTCCTTCTGTGCCCGAGTCTGGTCAGCATCCCTGGCCCAGCTCGCAGAGGCACTGGGGGAAGGGGCTGGGTCCACGCACGATTGGCCCACACTGACATGTCTGGTCTGCTTCTCTTTCCTTCTCCCCCTCCAGAGTATAAGAAGAAGTATGGAGAGGAACATGGCTCCTGCCAGGCTGGGATAGCAGGCTTCTTCACTGAGGTGGGTGATTCTGCCTGGGGATGCCTCTTTTGGGTGTTCATTTCCTGGCTTTTTGTGATATTTTGTGACCTCCGGAGGGGAGTGCTGTTAGTGTCCCAGACGCTCGAGCTGTGGGTGAGTCGATTCTGGTCCTTACATCGGGGAGGGTTATTTAAGCCTGGTCAGGGGCACTGGCTGGGCAGAGGCTGCTGGTGGCCTGACTGACTCAAATTTCCAAACATGTCAGTTTGATGCTCTAAACCTCTGGAGGGACCTGATTAAAGGGATACAATGGCCAGGCATGATGGTGTATGCCTGTAATCCCAGTGGCTTGGGAGGCTGAGGCAGGAGGATTGTGAGTTCAAGGCCAGCTTCAGCAACCTAGTGAAATCCTGTATGTAAATAAAATATTAAAAAGGCTGGGGATGTGGCTCAGAGGTTAAGCATCCCTGACACAGCATGCAGGCAGCTGGTGCCTAAGTGTACACTTGTCACCTCACAGTGTTCCTCTTGATGGAGGGACTCAACATACAATCCTAGACCTTTTCTCAACCTCTCAAGGACCCTACACTTGAATGTGTCCTGTCAGCGGCCCTGTGACGTCTGGCCTGTAGTTCATTTTTAGTTACTGTTTTCTTACTTGTTCTCATCTCCTGCAAGTTTGTTCTTTGCTTCTTCTTCTCCTCGTTCCTTGGACATCTTTAGGACCGCCTGCCTCCTGCAAAGTTCCTTGCTAAGCTCTGGAAGTGGCACCGTTGTCTGTGTGGTCCCTTGCATCACATAAAAAATACTTCTGAAATCTTACTGTTTGAAGTTTCCAAACGTATCCCGAATGACGGCTTTTCTGTATCGCCACCGAAAAAGGGTAGAAAGGGTAGAAAGTCGATCAGCGCACGTGTCTGGAAGGGCCACTGCCCTCACTTGGCGATACACTGGCCCTGAGTTGGGTTCTCCTGTCCATTTTATTATAGTCATTGAATCAATGCACTTTAACCATTTTAAATGTGGGATCGGTGACATTTAGTGCATTTGCAGCGTCACACAACTGTCACCGTCATCCACTTTTTAAACATTTTCTCGGTCCCAGGCTGTGCCTGTGCTTGGCTCTTGCAGTATGTCTTCTGCACTCCAGCCTAAGGATTCTTTCAAAGTCAGACCTTTCATGTAGACTCTCTGGCTTCTCATGACAGGGAAGATTAAACCCCAAACTTCACATCTTGGCCTAAGGGCTTGACTCTGATGCCACCTGTCTCTCCCTTCTTTGCTATAGGGCTGCAGAGAGCTGAAAGACAGCATGTGACATCGAGGGGAGGGGGAGTAAGGACTCTGACCCCACTGTCAGGTTTCCAAAGCTTTCTGCAGAGCGTCCCTTCTAAGTCAGGAGTGAAACGGGCCATCTTGATCTGAGAAATGGCTATTTTAATTCAGAGAAAATAGATGGAACCACCATTTGATCCAGCTATCCCTCTCCTTGGTCTATACCCAAAGGACTTAAAAACAGCCTACTACAGGGACACGGCCACATCAATGTTTATAGCAGCACAGTTCACAATAGCTAAACTGTGGAGCCAACCTAGATGCCCTTCAGTGGATGAATGCATAAATAAAATGTGGCATATATACACAATGGAATTTTTACTCAGCAATAAAAGAATAAAATCATGGCATTTGAGGTAAATGGATTGCGTTAGAGAAGATAATACTAAGTGAAGTTAGCCAATCCCCAAAAACCAAATGCTGAATGTTTTCTCTGATATAAGGGGAGTGACTCATAGATGGGGCAGGGAGGGGGAGCATGGGAGGAATAGATGAACTCTAGATAGGGCAGAGGGGTGGAAGGGAAAGGGAGGGGTCGGGGGGTTAGCAAGGATGGTGGAATGTGATGGACATCATTATCCAAAGTACATGAATGAAGACATGAATTGGTGTCAACATACTTTATATACAACCAGAGAGATGAACAATTTGTGCTGTGTATATGTAATAAGAATTGTAGTGCATTCCACTGTCATTGATATTTTTAAAAAAGTCAATAAAAAGACAGTTGGCAATATAGTGTGCAAACAGCAAAAATGAAAGGTAGAAAGTCGAATTTTTTAATCGTCTTTTACTCAAACCAATAAATGGGAGGCACCTCCCTCCCAACCCCCAGCAATTACTACTGTGTCCCTTCACGCAGGCATTGGTTTTGTGACTGCTGCTCCAGAGAATTCCGCCCTGGGCCTTGTGAATGGTACCACCAGTGTCCTAGCTGGCGAGGCCAAAAGCTTTAAAAATTCCCCTCTCACTGAGGTATCAGCAACCAGCACGTCCCACCCCTTTTGCCCTCAAAACTTATCATGCAAACTTTTCTCTCCACATCTCTCCACAAATCAGCTGCGATTGTTCTGCTCCTAGCCCACTGCAGAGCCTTCCTGTTGTCCTGCTTCCACCCTTTCCTCCTGACAGACGAGTTCTAGGACCTTCTACGTACAAAAGTGTCACGGCTTCTTGCCCAGAACTGTCCAGTATCTTCCCATCCTCTTATAAGAAAATCCAGATGCTTCCCCTCATCCGGCATCCCGGATCCTCCTGCCTTTTCAGCCTCTTCCATTCCTAGCCTCGGCCCGCTGCCTCCAGCTGCAGTGAGTGAGATGCTGTACGAACAGGCCACAGTCTCACTATGGTGGCGTGCTGGAGATTAGCCACTGCTTTTTGAGCACAAGTGCATGCGTAGAGGAGATGGGTAGGAGGGTCCAGCAGTACCCAGAATTTGATACATTCAGGAAAATTGCATTACAAAAGTGTTTACTAATTGACATTTTTCCCACTTCATTCACACCTGTCCCATCGCTCTCTTACCAATGTTAACAATTTTTGCCATTGGAAAAGGAAATCTCATTTTAATGTCCCATGAGCTGATTATTAGTATAATTTGTTATCTTTCTTAAACATTGGCCATTTGTATTTTTCTGGAAATTACTTGTGATTCTGAGTCCAGTGTTCTGATTTTGTTGTTCTTTGCTGATTTGTAGGAACTTGTTACATAGTTTCAACATTCTTGTTTATTGAAAAAAAATTTCTGATCAGTGGTATTTTTTTCCCTCTCTTTTTGGGGTACCGGGGATTGAAATCGGGGGTGCGTAACCACTGAGTCACATCCCAGCCCTATTTTGTATTTTATTTAGAGACAGGGTCTCACTGAGTTGCTTAGCACCTTGCTGTTGCTGAGGCTGGCTTTGAACTACTGATCCTCCTGCCTCAGCCTCCCAATCCACTGGGATTATAGGCGTGTGCCACCGCGCCCAGCTCAGCTTCTTTTAACTGTGCTTTGTGTGTCTCTGTTGTACTAGTGTTACACATTCACGTTTGGTCAAATATACTTTTTCTGGATTCTAGAGTTGTGTTAATTAGTAAAGGATATCTCTAAGAACATGAAATTATTCACCTATATTTTCTTCTAGTCCTTTTACAGATTTTTTAAAAAAGAGATGTGTATCTTTATTCCTTCTGAAATTATATCTTTTTATGTAGTAGAAACTGTATTGTTTTCCTAAATGCATAGTTGGTGGTTTTGACACTGGTTTGTGGAACCATTTTTCCTATCCCCATTGATTTAAAACACCACCCTGCCATGTGCTGACTTTACTCACTTTCCTCTCAGCATGTAGGCTGTGTAACTGCCCTGGCCATTGGTCCTGCAGCAGGTCTAGTACAGTATGACTCCATCCAATAGGCAGTGGGAACCACTGTACTATAAGAGGTAGGTGACCAACATGGCGGATGGCAGTGTTGTAAGGCTATCTGGGTGGGTGTGCCCAGGACTTTGGATTAGGATGCTCCTGAGGGAGGCCAGAAAGGGAGGCCACGATGTGTTCTAGCCATGAGGCAACAGGGCAGGGTAGAGTGTCACTTTTGGAATAAAAGTGATTGGGGTCATCAGAGAATAATGACATGTCCATGGGTTGGGTGGCCAGAGCCCTGTGGGGCAGAGGAAAGGGGTGTTGAGCTGGGTTCGTGGAGAAGAGCGATGCCCCTTGTGGAGAGGACCCCCAAGGAGGACCTCTGGTTCAGGCACAAGTGTGAGGTGCTGGGACATGCTCGTAGCTGCTCCTATAAGAGGCCTTGGACACAGGGACTGGACCCTAGTCTGAGCCAGGAAGTTAGGCTTGGCCCTTGCTGGTCTTTGAGGGGATAAGTGTGCTGAGCCTTGGATGGTGGGAGGAGGACTGATTCATCACAGAAGTCAGCACTCACCACAACATCGGAGGGAGGGAGGGAGGCGTCAGTGTGGCCCCACTGGATGGCAAGTCCGAAAGGGCAGGACTTGGGGCTGTGTGGAAGGAAAGGCTTGGTAGGAAGAATTGGGAGGCCATTGGGTATGGAAGGGAAGCCCAGGTGGCTGGGCAAGCCTGGGATGACCAGAGACCTGAGAGGACCTGTTGGAAACCCCAGCCTCTGGGATTCAGAGCCCAAGGGAGCCACAGTGTCTTGGCATGTGCTGGCTGGGCTCAGAATAAACAGAAGTGGGGACACAGTGTCCAGAGGGGCAGGAGAGGCGTGGGCGGCCCCCCTGCTGCTGTTCAGTCCTTTGACCCCGGCTTGCTGTCTCTTGGCCCATCTGGGCTTCAGCCTTCACTCTGGTTCCCAGGCCTTTGGCCTCCTTAAACAGGAGGTCTTTGAACTCGCTGCCTCCCTTGTGTCTGGAACCTCAGCTGTTTGTGGCCGAGCAGGAAATGTGGTTGAAGGGGTGGAGCAGGCGCGGTTCCCTCCTCTGCCCCTCTGCTGACCTCATCTCTTGCCTGTGCTGTGAGCTGATTTGTCCCCTCTTGGGGCACACAGCTGTGTCCCAAGGCGGATGGCTTCCCTACCATCCCGGACGTAGCCACTTTGGCCCCAAATATTCTGGCCCAAGGGGCCTGCTTGACCTGCGGGTCAGTGACCCTGAGGTTATCTAAGCTCTGAGTTATGGATACCACATGAGTTTTAGCCCATCATTGAGGGTGAGAGCTTCCCGGGGACTTTATTTATTTTCGTAGACTAGAGCAATAGAGGTGACAGACATTTCTAAGCACCAACAGAAGACTTGGGGATGACCCCGCCATTGGAAACCACTGGGTGGAACTTTCCTAAGCATGGACTTCTGTTGTAGATCCCTGCATTCTTCTGCCTTCCTGGGGTCCCCTCTGGGGAGTGTGTAGAGGGGAGCCTGTGGCTTGTTTCAGGCACACCCAGGGGCCCCGGTGCCTCTGGAGATTCTGCTAGTAAAACGCACCTTGGGAGAAGGCCCAGGCTGTTTTATGGGATTCTCCTGATGTGATTAGGCGGTGGTGGCCTTCGCTTGAGGGGAAGCTTGGGTTCTGGGGTGTGATATTTGTACTGGCTGTTCCTTGGGAGATGGGAAGCAAAGCTTTGATCACATTTTCCTGACACTTGTGAATGCCACTAAAACAACATCCAAAATGAACAGAAGTAGCTAAATTCAAGGGATTTCCCAGAAGACGCTCTGCCTCCCAGCCCGGCCTTGAGGGTCACAGGCTTGGTCCCAGTTTATCTAATTTGGATTGAAGGGAAAGACAGTGTGAACCCTAAGAGGACAGAGGAAGAAAACAACTATTTGTTTCAAAAGTTTTTAAGGAATGAGATTACTTTGCCTTATCCCCTCTGTAGTTTGAGAGAACACAGAGGTACAGTAGACACTCATTTCTCCACTTTGATCCTGGATTAATCTAAATCAGAAAGCAGTCTGTCCATGCCTCATGTCCTGCAGAGCCTTTACAGGCCCGAGCCTATGCTCAGAGCTCTGGCTTGTAAAAGCTGCAGAAGGAGAACGCTCCACGCTGTGTATACAACTGGTGTTGAGGCCATCACTCATGACATTCTTCGGCGCCCTTTGTTTTTGGGCACTTGATTGCAAATTCCTTTCCAAACTGGAGGCCAGGAAAAAAGTCTCTGTCCTCTGATGAACCGATGGTTTGTCTTTCTCCTAGCTTTCTAGAAGGAGCACAGGCCCTTACACCAAACAGGCAAGTGTAAGGAGGAGGAGAGAACTTGTGCCCCACCGTGTGTGTTCCCAGTGACGGGTCCTGAGTGCAGAAAGCAGAGAGATACCTCCAGGGTTATCTTGGCAGTGCCTTTGAGGGGGTGTCAATCTCAGAACCTCCAATGAAGTGTTCACTGACAGCCTCATCCACGCCTTCCTGAGGGGTGAAGAGCAAGCCATTCGGACCAGAATCTAGGCAGGGACTTTCCTTCCACCTGCACTCGCTCCCTAGTCATTGTCCCGATTCTTCCCAGATTGATAGACTCCCTTGTTCAAAGCCTCACCCTCTTGCCCATTTCCTCCCCAATTTTCTGGCTTTTGCAGATTCTTGCACTCCAAGAATCCTTTGATGACTTTATAAATGATCAGAAACTCATGTCTCTCTGGCAGGGACTAGCCTCCAGGAACTGGTCAGAAACCAGCAGCCTTCGTCAGCCTACACAGTTATCTTGTGGTTTTCCATGTTGCCTTATCCTAAGCGTGTCATGCCAAGGAACTTTATCTTTGTATGTAGCACAAGCTCTACATACATGATAGTAGGTACTTAGTAAATATTGTTGAATAAAAAAATTAATGATTTTGCGTGGTGGCGTATACCTGGAATCCCAGCAATTTGGGAGGCTGAGACCAGAGGATCACAAGTTCAAAGCCAGCCTCTGCAATTTAGCAAGATCCTGTCTCAAAAATAACCAAACAGAAACAAAAAAGTGAGGACGTGGCTCAGTGATTAAGCACCCCTGGATTCAATCCCCAGTACAGAAAAAATGATTTTGTTGGACAAATAAGTTTTATTTCTCCTGGCAGTGCAGATACTTTAGAAAATATAAATAATCAAAAGGAGATTCCCTGTTGAGCCTTCCGATGTGTGCAAGACCTTGCTGCTGCTTGTCCCAGTGCAGGCTCAGTCCTCGGGGGCTTCACCGGAACACTTGTAAAATGTCATTTCACTGGCAATTTTGCATTTTTTGTGAGGTGACTTCCTGGTCAGTGTTTAATTAACTGTTCTAGTTAATTAAACTATCAAGTCTTTTTGTTCAATACATACAATAACACACCCATCTATATATAGTTTGATGAATTTTGATAGAGATGACATGAGTGTGCCCATTTATCTTGAGAACATTTCCACCACTGTAGAAAATTCCTCACGCCCCTTTGCAGATAATACCGCCCCTCTTTCGTACTGTTCTGAATTTTATCACCATAGAGTCATTTTTTTTTTTTTGGCTGATTCTAGAACTTTCTATGAGTTGACTCCTAACCTGTGCTCTTCTTTCCTACCAACATTTGTCAAAGGTTCTCCCACACTTGAGCTGGGCTTTGTAGATTGCAGAAGGGTTACTCAGAGGAAGCACGAGGGCCTTGCAGGAATGGAGAGTCAAAGAGCAGAGTGTCCCAAGCATGCAGTCTGAGGGGGAATTGGCAGGAGGGGAGCCAATATGTTTGGAACAGTTGACAGGTTGACTTTTACCTGAGACCTGTGCTCTTGGAAAACAGACTGTTCTCAAATTTTTAAAAACACAGAAAACATAAACTATGGGAGAGTTAAAGAAGGGATGTCCATAGTTCCAGCACTCTGGGGAAAATGTTTTATGACCTGTCCACCTGGTCTTTGTGAATTTGTGCACATGTTCATTAGTGGTTTTTTTCCCTTTATAAAACATGATTGACAGCATATATGTTGCTTTATGTATTCTTTTTAACAGCACTTTGTAAATATCTCAGTGCCATTAGGTCTTCTGTGGTGTGGTTAATACTGCATTGGGTTCTGTTGCATGCATGTGTTATAGTTTAGAAGCCCTATTGTTTGACACGCAGGTTATTTCTAACTTGGCACAGTTAACAATGCATCTTCTTGTGGGCAAAATCATACAGATATCCCTGTTGACTTCCCAAGGTAACTGAACTGTTTTGGAGCATTTAGGATTATCATCAGTATTGGTTATCAGATGGTTTTGTAGCACAGGCTTGTGGCTGCAGGACCATTTTCCCATCATTTAAATGCCGAGAGCTGTGTCTTCTGTATTCTGGGGTCTATTTTTAGTTAGGGCTACTGTCTCTTACTGCCTGTGGTCTGTTCTCTTTCTAGTTTATGAACTTCCCTTAGTTGGCTTTTTGGTCTCTTGTTTTTGTCCTTCAGAATTTGCAGTGGGCCATTGTGGCCAGAAAACCCACCTTTGAACCCTTCCTGAGAAGAGGAGCCGAGATGAGCTCTGGAGGGGATTTTCCCGGGGCATTAGTGCATAGTTTTTGTAAAGCTCTGCTGTGCACTGGGCAGCCGGAGCCACTGAATAGTGGGCCTGGGTCCAGGCTAGGTGAGGCATTGCTGTCTTTGCCTGAGTGCTCTCCCAGGAATTCTGCAGGACGCCACCCTTGTTTGCCATTTCCATGTTTAATCCTGGTATAAGATTGAGGAAATATGTATAGCTCCATCTGTGGTAGGTGTGTCACTCATTCTGTCCCCTTGCTCAGTTAACTTCGCCTCTTCGTTCCTGACCATACCAACTGGACAATAGATTCTATAATGCCAGGAAATCTGGTGATTTTTTTTTTTTTTAAATGGATATGCTGGGGAGTTAAAAAAAAAAAAAACCCGTGGTGAGGTATTTTTAATTTCATTCCGAGTTCTCCTTTGTGTGACTGTGGTCTTACTACATCTCTTTATCCCTTTCTTGGCTTCCCATTTACATTTGGATTTTTCTGGTAGGAGCTGGTGGTGATGGGCGCCCCCGGATCATTTTATTGGGCTGGGACGATCAAAGTGCTGAACCTCACAGACAACACCTATTTGAAGCTGAATGATGAAGCGATCATGAACAGGCGGTACACCTACCTGGGTGAGTAGCTGGGGGAGAGGCGAGATAAGGAGGGGCAAATGGGAGCTATTACCGGTTATTGCTCTGTTGGTGGAAGGGAGAGTTGGTTGGCTTTTACTTTTCAATCTCTCGTTCTTTAATTAGAACACCTGAACACCTAGCAACTCACATAGAAGACAGAAGAGGGAGCTGAATTAAAACTGATTTAATTAAAAAGCTTTCTCTGGAGGCTCACGTGTCTTATCTCCTTGTTTTAGCAATCACTCAAGTTCAGATGATCAGATGCAAAATGAGCTCAATAGAATCCTAGTATTCTTTGGACATCCCCTGGGGATGGAGTCTCTGCTTCCTAGTCACAAATAGAAATAATTACCAGAAATTATCATGACAGGTAGCACCCCAGGTTGAAGTTTAATTGAAGGCTCAGAAATTTTCTTACTTTTCTGAACCCTCTTAGTCTTCTAGAACAGAAGATAGGTACAATTTAATTTAGCAGCCATCAGGCAAAGAAGATGCTGGGGCAAAACAGTGCCCATTTAAAGACAGAGATAAACTATGTTTGCTTAGAGGATGGTCACAGGACTCAACCCAGGCCCTGAATGCTGCCATTCCGGACTGGAATTAGAACCATATTTAGGAAGGTCTCATAACAAAACAATCTTCTTTCACATTCAGTACATATAACTCTAATCAGGGGAGGCCCTGCCACCCTTTGGGCAAAGTCACTGAAATCTCTTTGTTAGGTGGGGACAGGGAGTTGGTGAATCACCTTTTCCCTCTGACCATTAGTGTGCCCCCAGGCAGCACAGACCCAACAGTACTTTAATAAATCTTTGGGGCATTTGCTACCGTGCTCATATAGCTCCTCGGTCTGTCATTTATTAAGCATTTAATCTATGCAGGGCTTTGTATATTATTTTAATTCTGAAATTGAGGTTGTCATTATTATCCGTACTTTGTAGGTGAAGCAGCTGACCATTACATTATGTAATTTTCCAAGGTCATAAGCCCCAGAGTTGGGTATAAATCTGTTTCTGAGACAGGGTCTAAACGCTGAGCTGCCTCTCTGTGTATTACCAGAACAGCATCTGCCACTGGTTCCAAACCCCTCACTGGGCTGTACGCACGTCCAAGGTGGGAGTTTTTCTCTCATTCCCAGGAGTTGGTATATACAATACCTGGTGTACGGCAGGAGCTGAACACATGCTTGCTGACTCGGAATGAAGAGGGCAGAAGAGAGCCCACTTTGGATGGAGGTTTTCAGGCCTCAGACAGGTGTTATGAACCTTGGGGTCTGTGGTTTCTCCCTGTGTACAAAACGGAGCCCTTTATCTGCTACAAGGGTTAACAGGAGACAGTTGAGAGTATGTCACTCAGGATACTCTCAGGCAATGTAAATCATCAGTTTGAGAGAAATCGGCCACATGGAGATCCTGGATGATATGAATCATCACAAAACTCAAATAACTTATGATCACAGCATTAGAGTTCAGGGATGATGGCGAGACCAGGGAACATAATGCAGGCAGCCTGTCTAGCATTTCTGCCTGCCAGAGGAGTGCCTTCAGCTTGTAAAGCAAGGCCCTCAGAAGGCAGGAGACATTTGGATTGTGAATTTGGATATGTTTTATCTATCTGAAAATCTGTAAACAGAAGAAATGATCACGCATTCTTCATAGAGTTTTTATATTGAAATAAATGTCACCCAAAGATATATAAAAATGGCTTACAACAGCTTTACTTGCCCCAAGTTGGAAATAATTCACATGCTCAGCAGGAGGAGAAAGAGATGGTATGTTCATCCAGTAGGACAGGACTCAAAAATGGAAAGAAGAATGCACTACTACAGGCAACAGCATGGATGAGTATCAAGTATCATAAATAATAAAAATCAGAATAATGGCCACTTATGGGGCTGGGGAACCTTCCAGGGTTGTGGTTCTTGGTTTATGTTCACTTGATCCGGGTGGTGGTAGCATGGTCATGTAAGTGTGTACAAACTCCTTAAGGTCTACACTTCAGATGCATGTTCTTTATGAAAATTACATCTCAAAAAGAAAAAACAGACTGTTTAGCACAGTACCAGTCCTGGAGAGGGTACTCGGCACTCTTTCCTGCCCCAGGGTCCTTGTGAATGTGGCTTTTTGTGATATGTGCCATTTAAACATGAGGAGACCGACAGCTGCCAATTTGTTCCCTGGTTCCATTTGTGTTCTAAGAATAACTGGACCATAGCTGCCCAGATAATGAAACTTTTCTTGAAAAATGTTTTTTTTTTCTTTTGAATCCAATGAATATTTTCTCTTGCTGCCTTCTTCAACCTTGTCCTTGGTTTCCATCATCCTGTTTAGGCTATGCAGTGACCGCTGGCCGCTTCTCTCACCCCTCTACCACTGATGTGGTAGGAGGTGCCCCACAGGATGAAGGCATTGGAAAGGTGAGGAGAAACACCTGGGATCAGAGGAGGGGAGTATGCTGCCTTGTCGTAGGGGTTTGCCAACTGACTTTGACCTGAATATTCTCTTGGTTGACTGGTGAGAGACAAAATCATGAGGAACCCTTTGACAGTCTCATTCCAACAACTTTGGAGAGATGACCTTGAAAGCATCATCAGAGTGTGAATACTGTTCACACCGTCTATTCTCTCATGATGTTTTTTTCTTTTATTAAGTGTGTGTGTGTATGTGTGAGTGAGAGAGAGAGAGAGAGAGAATATGATTTGTAAGTCTCCCTTGGCATCAGGGTGCCCTTCAAAGGAGAAGTATTCAGTGCTGTACAACTTTAAATCCCCCACCTTCCTGACTTTACCCGATTTGGCTTTGACTAAATAGAATCAGGATAGTCCCAGCTACCTTTAGGCCTTTTTAAAAAATGTTTAGATTCCCATTTATTTCCCCAGTGTTTCAGAAGGAACATTGGGTTCCCAAGACTGGTGGAACCCAAGGCTGTTATAGCAATATGTGGGTCTGATTTTCTCTAAAGTCTGTCCACAGTGTAGAACAGACCTGTGGGTCTTGGTCTGTCTGACTCACTTTGGGAATCATGGCCTCCAAGGGGACTATGTTCATTGTTTAGCTTCAGGGTATAGGAATCATAGAATGGGGATGTCCAAATGGGCAAGGAATCTGCATTTTTGTCTGGGGAAGACTGAGCAGTGGCATGAACTTTGGATCCACAGCCCCAAGGCTGGACCTGTGGTAGTGTCTGGCTGCTGCATCTGTGGCTTGGAGAAATGGGCTCTGAGTTCTAGAGAGGCCAAATGGGCTGAGACCACTGTTACTGGGACCCTACACTTCAGATGCATGTTCTTTATGAAAATTATATCATAATGAAAATTATGAAAATTATACCAGCTAGGCTGGTAGGCAGATCAGAGAGACCGTGCAGTTGATGGGCATGACAGAGGTGTGTTCACGAGGGCCATTTCTGTGGACCCTCCTGGGCAGAGGGCTTAGGAGCCACTGCTCATATTTCTTCAGAGTATGCCTCCCTCCCCCTAGGCTGATACTGTGGATCAGATAAACCAGGGCCCTGATCCAGTGGATAAGGAATCATGCACATGAACTTTGATAACTTCAAGTCTGAGTCACATGAATTCCTCTTCATGGTGGAGGGAAGAGCACTTAGAGCTGTCTCCGCCTCAATGGCGTCTTCCGGGGAGGAACTGTCTGTCACTAGGCTTCTCTGCCAGGCGGTAAAATTGCTTACCTCCTGGTTCACAGATACCTTTGTGCTGATGACAGCGACTTTCTTTTCTCAGTAATTGCAGAAAACTTGCTTTGGTTGTATTGTTTCTCCTTCAGATGACAGGGATGTTGCATGGTCCCTGTCAGGTCTGAAGGCAAGGATGGTTATTTACAACTGAAAGCGCCAGAAAGGAGTCCTGGATCTACTTAACAAAAGAAAGAATAGAAAATGCTTCTTTCAATTGCTTGACCTGAGAGTCACTGGGGAAATTGGTTGTAGTGAACAGAGTTGCTCATTATCTCACATGCCCAGGGACCAGGGCTCATGCAGAATTGCTCTCCAAGGACCCCAAAACAGACCTCTGGCCTTCAGGATTTTGATATCCATTTCCCATGTTGGGGTGCAAAAGCCTTCACACTAATATGGCAGTTCCTTACCCAGGGGAGAGACCCCTACCCTGTGTCTCATGAGATAATCTTTCCATAAGATGTAACTTGAAAAAGAAGTTCATATTTGGGTACACTTAGAAAGTTAAATGTCAGTGAGATTCATTGTTATTTAAATCTGCATGCTAAAGGCTCTAAGACATTACACAATGCAGGAATTTAATATTTAATGCTTAACTTTGCATTTTCTAGCCTAAACTCATAGTTACCCATATAGACTTTATGGCACTTATATTATGTGGAATCACTTTGGAGAATAACTTTGGCTAAAATGCTCTCTTTCATCCCCTTGTCTTATACCTGTTAAAGGTGTATCTAAGGGGATTGAAGGACCATTTTCAGGCAGAAAAGACTTTTTTCCCTGAGTGTTGAGTTGTTTACTAGTAATTTGGGTATTCCTTGGTCTTATCAGACGTGGCTGCTCTAGATCAGTGCTGGTGACACTTTTGCCTCAGATCTGAAGGACACTTTCTGGGCAGGATTGGTTAGACAAGAGCTTGTGGTGGTGTCTTCATTGTCATCAGCTGATTTAAACACAGCTACGGTGTGACTGCCTCCCAGGAAGATGCTGGTCAATATCATTGGTCATTGCTTCGATCCTAACTCCATTTTTTTTTTCATTCCTTAGGTTTATATTTTTAGAGTGGACCGAAGATCAGGGACCTTGATTAAGATTTTTCAGGCATCAGGTAAAAAGGTGAGGTTCTTGGTGTAAGTGACTGTTTTGTTTGTTTGTTTGAGAGATTAGATCATGTGGGAGCAGGTTCCTTTTAGACAATCCGCTAACGGCCCTGCCTGAGCCCTATGCTTACACGACAGCTCTGCTTGTGTGTTGGTGCCTTTACTTTCTCAGTCGTGTGTGTGACCTGTAGGCTTTAGGGGATTCATGCTCATTTTAGGAACTGTCATGCAGCAAGATGAGTTTATACACACACAGCGTTTTAAAAGGTTGCTGCAGTCTAGACACTTGTCCAAGTGCTGCCTGCTCCATCTCTGCCTTTCTCCACCTCTCACCTTAGCCCTCCTCCATCTGCCTCTCATCTACGCCTCCAGAGAGGCCAGGTACAACTGAGTCATTGCTTGCATCCTAACTAGATTATTTTCTCACTTTTTAGCTTTAGGTAGCAAACCCATTAGACACCAGTGATCCTGTTTAAAGGGTGCAGGAGGACAAATTCTGCTCAGTGTCTCTCACACCAGCCTGAGGCTGCCCCCTCTTCCTGCACCCTCTGCCCTCCTCTGTCAATGCGGGGAGAACCGTTGTCATACAAAGAAAACCCAGACATCATCCAGTTCTTCTTGGAACCTTGATATAGAAGTAGCTCAGGAAGCTGCCTGACCAGAGTCCTGGAGAAGGCTCATCTGCATATGTTGCTCCCATCCTGTCCCTGGTCCTCTGTTTCCTACAGGATTCCCTTGTACTGCAGCATAGTAAATGAAGCTGGTTGGAAAGGCTTCTGACTCATAAGCTCTGCTCCTCTGCAGGCTTCTCAGCTCTGCACAGCTGTGCATGGCTTAAGGCGAGTAGGATGGTTTGGCTGAGACTGGCTGCTCTAGGGGGCGCAGTTAAGGCTGGGGGGGGGTGTGGTGTAATTTGGAGGCCTCACTGGGCTTTTGGGAAGACGCACAGCAGGCCTGGGATGTAGGGAGGGAGACTCTAGGAGACGGGAGAATGCCAAAAGGTGATTTTACTTAACATTATCCTGAAATGAGGGGGAAAATGATCATTTCCTTCTTGAGCCACATGCCTCTGGCCCCAGTTCTGTTCCCTGTTGTTAAGTGAAACTTGCTGAATGACAGCCTGGGATCATTTCATGCTATTCTGGTGTAAACCATATTCTGAGATCTAAAAATCTCACAAGTAGGCCTTTTTATTTTTCTTTCCGTTTAAAATTAATTATTCTAATTTGTTATACATAACAGCAGAATGTATTTTGATTCATAGTACACAAATGGAGCACGATTTTTCTTTTTTTCTTTTTATTTTTTTATTGTTGGTTGTTCAAAACATTACATAGTTCTTGATATATCATCTTTCACACTTTGCTTCAAGTGGGTTATGAACTCCCATTTTTAGCCCATATACAGATTGCAGAATCACATCAATTACACATCCATTGATTTACATATTGCCATACTAGTGACTGTCGTGTTCTGCTACCTTTCCTATCCTCTACTATCCCCCCTCCCCTCCCCTCCCCTCCCCTCCCCTCTTCTCTCTCTACCCCCTCTACTGACCTTCATTTCTCCCCCTTGTATTATTTTTCCCTTTCCCCTCATTTCCTCTTGTATGTTCTTTTGTATAACCCTGAGGGTCTCCTTCCATTTCCATGCAATTTCCCTTCTCTCTCCCTTTCCCTCCCACCTCTCATCCCTGTTTAATGTTAATCTTCTTCTCATGCTCTTCGTCCCTACTCTGTTCTTAGTTACTCTCCTTATATCAAAGAAGACATTTGGCATTTGTTTTTTAGGGATTGGCTAGCTTCACTTAGCATAATCTGCTCTAGTGCCATCCATTTCCCTGCAAATTCTATGATTTTGTCATTTTTTAATGCAGAGTAATACTCCATTGTGTATAAATGCCACATTTTTTAAATCCATTTGTCTATTGAAGGGCATCTGGGTTGGTTCCACAGTCTTGCTATTGTGAATTGAGCTGCTATGAACATCGATGTAGCAGTGTCCCTGTAGCATGCTCTTTTTAGGTCTTTAGGGAATAGACCGAGAAGGGGAATAGCTGGGTCAAATGGTGGCTCCATTCCCAGCTTTCCAAGAGATCTCCATACTGCTTTCCAAATTGGCTGCACCAATTTGCAGTCCCACCAGCAATGTACAAGTGTACCCTTTTCCCCACATCCTCGCCAGCACTTGTTGTTGTTTGACTTCATAATGGCTGCCAATCTTACTGGAGTGAGATGGTATCTTAGGGTGGTTTTGATTTGCATTTCTCGGACTGCTAGAGATGGTGAGCATTTTTTCATGTACTTGTTGATTGATTGTATGTCCTCCTCTGAGAAGTGTCTGTTCAGGTCCTTGGCCCATTTGTTGATTGGGTTGTTTGTTATCTTATTGTCTAATTTTTTGAGTTCTTTGTATACTCTGGATATTAGGGCTCTATCTGAAGTGTGAGGAGTAAAGATTTGTTCCCAGGATGTAGGCTCTCTATTTACCTCTCTTATTGTTTCTTTTGCTGAGAAAAAACTTTTTAGTTTGAGTAAGTCCCATTTGTTGATTCTAGTTATTAACTTTTGTGCTATGGGTGTCCTATTGAGGAATTTGGAGCCCGACCGCACAGTATGTAGATCGTAGCCAACTTTTTCTTCTATCAGACGGCGTGTCTCTGATTTGATATCAAGCTCCTTGATCCATTTTGAATTAACTTTTGTGCATGGCGAGAGAAAGGGATTCAGTTTCATTTTGGTGCATATGGATTTCCAGTTTTCCCAGCACCATTTGTTGAAGATGCTATCCTTCCTCCATTGCATGCTTTTAGCCCCTTTATCAAATATAAGATAGTTGTAGTTTTGTGGATTGGTTTCTGTGTCCTCTATTCTGTACCATTGGTCCACCCGCCTGTTTTGGTACCAGTACCATGCTGTTTTTGTTACTATTGCTCTGTAGTATAGTTTGAAGTCTGGTATCGCTATACCGCCTGATTCACACTTCCTGCTTAGCATTGTTTTTGCTATTCTGGGTCTTTTATTTTTCCATATGAATTTCATGATTGCTTTCTCTATTTCTACAAGGAATGCCGTTGGGATTTTGATTGGCATTGCATTAAACCTATAGAGAACTTTTGGTAATATCGCCATTTTGATGATGTTAGTTCTGCCTATCCATGAACAGGGTATATTTTTCCATCTTCTAAGATTTCTTCTATTTCTCTCTTTAGGGTTCTGTAGTTTTCATTGTATAAGTCTTTCACCTCTTTTGTTAGGTTGATTCCCAAGTATTTTATTTTTTTTGAAGATATTATGAATGGAGTGGTTGTCCTCATTTCCATTTCAGAGGATTTGTCGCTGATATACAGGAATGCCTTTGATTTATGCGTGTTGATTTTATATCCTGCCACTTTGCTGAATTCATTTATTAGCTCTAATAGTTTCTTTGTAGAGCCTTTTGGGTCTGCTAGGTATAGAATCATATCATCTGCAAATAGTGATAATTTAAGTTCTTCTTTTCCTATTTTTATGCCTTTAATTTCTTTCGTCTGTCTAATTGCTCTGGCCAGTGTTTCGAGAACTATGTTGAAGAGAAGTGGAGAGAGAGGGCATCCCTGTCTTGTTCCAGATTTTAGAGGGAATGCCTTCAGTTTTTCTCCATTCAGAATGATGCTAGCCTGAGGCTTAGCATAGATTGCTTTTACAATATTGAGGTATGTTCCTGTTATCCCTAGTTTTTCTAGAGTTTTGAACATAAAGGGATGCTGTACTTTGTCGAATGCTTTTTCCGCATCTATCAAGATGATCATATGGTTCTTATTTTTAAGTCTATTGATGTGGTGAATAACATTTATTGATTTCCGTATATTGAACCAGCCTTGCATCCCAGGGATGAATCCTACTTGATCATGGTGCACAATTTTTTTGATATGTTTTTGTATCCGATTCGCCAGAATTTTATTGAGGATTTTTGCATCTAGGTTCATTAGAGATATTGGTCTGAAGTTTTCTTTCTTTGAAGTGTCTTTGTCTGGTTTAGGTATCAGGGTGATGTTGGCCTCGTAGAATGAATTTGGAAGTTCTCCCTCTTTTTCTATTTCCTGAAGTAGCTTGAAAAGTATTGGTGTTAGTTCCTCTTTAAAGGTTTTGTAAAATTCTGCTGTATACCCATCCGGTCCTGGGCTTTTCTTAGTTGGTAGTCTTTTGATGGTTTCTTCTATTTCCTCGATTGATATTGGTCTGTTTAGGTTGTCTATATCCTCCTGACTCAATCTGGGCAGATCATATGACTTAAGAAATTTATCTATGCCTTCACTATCTTCTAATTTATTGGAGTATAAGGATTCAAAATAATTTTTAATTATCTTCTGTATTTCTGAAGTGTCTGTTGTGATATTGCCTTTTTCATCCCGTATGCTAGTAATTTGAGTTCTCTCTCTTCTTCTCTTTGCTAGCATGGCTAACGGTCTGTCGATTTTGTTTATTTTTTCAAAGAACCAACTTTTAGTTTTGTCAATTTTTTCAATTGTTTCTTTTGTTTCGATTTCATTAATTTCAGCTCTGATTTTCATTATTTCTTGCCTTCTACTTCTTTTGCTGTTGTTTTGCTCTTCTTTTTCAAGGATTTTGAGATGAAGTATGAGATCATTTATTTGTTGGTTTTTTCTTTTTTTAAGGAATGAACTCCAAGCAATGAATTTTCCTCTTAGAACTGCTTTCAATGTGTCCCATAGATTCCGATATGTTGTGTCTGTGTTTTCATTAATCTCTAAGAATTTTTTAATTTCCTCCTTGATGTCTTCTATAACCCATTGATCATTCAGTAACCTATTGTTCATTCTCCAAGTGATGTATGCTTTTTCCTTCCTTCTTTTATCGTTGATTTTCAGTTTCATTACATTATGATCAGATAGGATGCATGGTATTATCTCTACTCCTTTATATTGTCTGAGTTTCCCTGTGACATAATATATGATCTATTTTTGAGAAGGATCCATGTGCTGCTGAGAAAAAAGTGTAACTACTTGATGTTGGG